TCTGCAGTGGCTTCTTCTCATTTTGAATTGTGCATGTTAACCTGCTGAAAGCTTTCTCCACCCACATCACTAAAGTCGACTCTGCTTAGAGGAGGTGGCTCTTACCCACGCGGATTCCGAATGCCTTCCAGCCTGAGGGACATGATGCCAGCACTCCACTGACACTCAGAAGGTTCTCAGTGACTGGTTTTTAACAGTGGATCAGCTCTTCCTTCTTCCTAGTCTGTTCTTCATCTAGGAGCTCCACTGGCACCTGTTCCTGGGTGGCCCCGCTGGCATTTGATACCAGTGGCACAGTTTGACGCATCACAGCGGCACCCTGCAACCACAGTACAACAAATTCACACAGGAATGAGTACTGGTGGCAGAGCCTGGTGAGTCCCGAGTCCACGGATCAAACATCAACACTGGCAGAGACCGGCCAGATCAGAGAGCTTTGCCAGGACATTTGTATGTGGCTATACAGCAGAGGCCACACCCTCAGAGAAACCCCCTGTCCACGGATTGGCTGTTCATAGCAGCTCTCCTGGTGAACACGATTACATGGTATCAGATCTCATCGTGGAAGATGACTCCCGAGAGCTGCCAGATCAGAGAATGGTGGCCCAGCCAAGCTGACACACTAGGTTAGTCCTCTCACAGACAACCCCTCGAGAAGTTAGCATCTCTACACACACCCTTAAACTGTGTGTCATCTCTAAATGAAGAAACTTCTAAGTCATGGTTGTACCTAACATGATACAACGAACACACAGACATCGAAAAATCCATTAGCCCAGTTTACATCTTATATTTTATGGGTGGTGAAAACAAAAATATTTGATGCACATCTATAAGGAAGAAATACTCATCACAATTACAGTCCTCGTGTCTCAAACGGTCGTAGCTAGTGTTCACAACTATGTTCTTCCACCACACATCCCATGTTCCCTTTGCCCTTTGCAAGCACTCGGCTAGTCACTGCTACTCATGGTTTGGGGTGACCCGATCCTTCATTCCTTAAGAGTCTGGGCCGTGAGTCTAGTCACTGCTACTCATGGTTTGGGGTGACCCGATCCTTCATTCCTTAAGAGTCTGGGCCGTGAGGCTAGTCACTGCTACTCATGGTTTGGGGTGACCCGATCCTTCATTCCTTAAGAGTCTGGGCCGTGAGTATACTCATGTTGGAAATGTTTGCACTGACCTTAATCACAGCACACACGGTACAAAGATGTCTTAATGGATCTCCTTTGTTCCAGGCAAGCTCTTCCTTAGTTCCATTATGTAATAGCAATCCAAGTTCCCGTGGTGATCAGGATAAATCACACCACTCAATATAAGAACTCCATTTTTTTGCCTATTGGTCCTAAGGCATAAAAAAGCCAAAGTGGCTTGGGAATATTTTCTTCATTCTACTTAAATGGAATCAGCATTGTGTCTCCGGGTGTAAATACCCCTCCCTGGGGAACTAAGACCTCCTGATCCGAAGACCATGGGAGCACAGGCACAGGAAGTAAAAATGTTGCAAGTCCGTCACTGCTGTTTACACCCCTCAGTTCCTGGATGCATGAAGCCTGGCTATTGATGAAATGGTACAATTTATACAGTGGCCTGGAGAACATTGCCTCAATCCTGACAGGTGCTGCAAACCAAGTGGACCTGGAATTGTGTCTTCAGAAGGCCGTTTCGTTGTCTATCAAGCTAACTGCGTTGGACACTCAGCTTTGGTGAGGGGAAGCCCATGTGGCTTTGTCCATGCGATATACAGAAAACTACTCCTTTTGGGAAACAGCTTTTGGCTTGTTTCTGGGCCTTAGTTGACACTGAACCCCTAAGCATGGGCCACCCAACCACCATGACGCCTGAGCTGGCAATCATAAACGAGGTGTTATCTGACCCGGACAATCAGAAAGCTGGACAGGCACAGCAGCACTCCACTCTCAGAAGGGAGTTCCAGGAGGACCTGAAGACACCAATAAGCTACACGAGGCAGCGGCCCACAGGCTCCAGTCCGGCCACATTACCTTCCTGCTCCCAGCTGTCTCGTGGGGAGTATTTCATGATCAGATGACCAAGAAAGTAAAGACGCATGCTTGCTTTACACACAGTTCTGCACGACACGCAGGCACCACTCAGGACAAGAACCGCACCGCCACAAGCCCTGCCTGGGAGCTCCCTGACAGGCAGTGTCAGGGAACGCCGCGGTGGGCAGGGCTCTGCTTGCAAGGAGCAATGGCCAGACGCTCGGCTGTGTACTGACTCATGAGATGCCACCAGTCGTTTGGCTGGAGGCTCAGAGGCTTGGAAGAAGCATGATGGGAAATTGGTGACAACCAGCTTCACATTCTGACAAAATGCCAGGCGCACACCAAATGGGCACACAGGTGATAGCGATGGGGCGAGTCTGACCTCTGCGTCATAGGAATCAGCCCAGGTGCTGAGGGTGCGTCCCTGTTCCGCCACGCCATTTTCGTGTGGCCAGTGCACACCTGGTGGCTGCCACCTGCTGGTGCCACAGCGATGCTCTGGGCGAAAGGTGGGAGGCCCCTCGCTGCTCATCAGTAGGGTTCTGGGTAAATCAGAGGCAGCATGTTTTTAACAGACTGCGACACAGCAGTAAAAGTATGTTTCCTGAATAAAACCATGGGGGTTGCACTATTAAAAATATATATATGTGGAAGGGGAAATCAATAAAGATGGGATGGCCTTTGTGCCGATTTGAATGACAGAGCAGGGCAATGTGGTTTCATGAAAACGATGTCAATGAGGCAACTCTGGCTAACGACGGTGGGGTGGGTGGAGGGGCCCCAGCACACGGTTCACGGGGGACCACGATGACGTGCTCCATGGGTAAAACCTCAGGGTTCCCAGAGAACCCGGAGACAGCTGTGATTGTGGTGCCCTGCTGCCCAAAGACAGAGGACCGGGCCCAGCTCTGCCACTGTCCCCAGCCCACTTGGGATGGGGTCATAGCCCTTCCCCTGAGACTGGAGTTGGGGAGAGGCCCGTAGGAAAGTGGGGTACGCATGTCTCTTAAACTCCTGAGACATGGACAAACCAGAGAACAGTGTGCTTAGCGAACTCGACCAATCTTACAAGGATCAATATTTAATCACACCACTGTCACAGGAGAAACGAAGAAGAAGAAATGCGGTTTATACGCTGATAGATGAGACTCTGAGAATTACGAGGAAGCTGGGGACAGGGGGTGGGAACAGGAAGGGGGTTGAAGTGGGGCGGATGGGAACCAACCCGCATCTACAGAGGATTTAACAGGCCATTGTTGTTGATTTCATCTCTTAAAATAGACTGTAAATCTAGAGAGCATGTTTCTTTTAAAACCAAAAAAAAAAAAAATCCCTCCGGATTCCTTATCCCTCAAACCTAAATAGTCGTGGTTTGAAAGAAGAAGAGGAAACGGACAATCGACCTGGGCGTGGAGTCTTTAGCGGCAAGCAAGTTCATCTCGAACAACAACAAAAAACTAATAAAAAACAGTGAGGCGATAAACAAGCGGCCACGTAGCTCAGAAGCAAC